GGAAGCACCTGGCTCCTGGCTTCGGATCGGCGCAGTGCAGCGGCCGTAGCGGCCATTTGGGGGGTGAACCAAAGGAAAAAGGAAGGCCTTTGTCTCTAACTCTGCCTGTCCAAAAAAAAAAAAAAAAAAAAAAGCAATCTGAGCTGCAATAGTAGTACACTATGGCTAGGCTAGAGTGAGGGAGACAGCGGTCCTGCCCTAATCTAGGCTACTCAGCTTAGACCACTACTGAACCATGTTGACTTCTGATTAGCTCACTGTGACAGGGTCTGCTAGGAACTGTCCACTCCCCGCACTGTGCACAGCGCTGTGCACCATAAAGGAGCTGGTCCCCACATGTTGCTCACCAGATTCCCTTATCCTGGTAACTCCTCACCAGGTGCAGCCAACGGGAAACCCTAGAAGACTCAGAGGCTGAAGAAGAAAATATGCTTTTTTTTTTTAAACTTTTATTTAATGAATATAAATTTCCAAAGTACAGCTTATGGATTACAATGGGTTCCCCCCCATAACGTCCCTCCCACCCGCAACCCTCCCCTTTCCCATTCCCTCTCCCCTTCCATTCACATCAAGATTCATTTTCGATTCTCTTTATATACAGAAGATCAGTTTAGCATGCATTAAGTAAAGATTTCAACAGTTTGCTCCCACACAGAAACATAAAGTGAAAAATACTGTTTCAGTACTAGTTATAGCATTAAATCTCAATGTACAGCACACTAAGGACAGAGATCCTACATGAGGAGTAAGTGCACAGTGACTCCTGTTGTTGACTTAACAAATTGACACTCTTGTTTATGGCATCAGTAATCACCCTAGGCTCTTGTCATGAGCTGCCAAGGCTATGGAAGCCCCCTGAGTTCACCGACTCTGATCATATTTAGACAAGGCCATGGTCAAAGTGGAAGTTCTCTCCTCCCTTCAGAGAAAGGTACCTCCTTCTTTGATGACCCATTCTTTCCACTGGGATCCCACTCACGGAGATCTTTCATTTAGGTGTTTTTTTTTTTTTTTCCCCAGAGTGTCTTGGCTTTCCATGCCTGAAATACTCTCATGGGCATTTCAGCCGGATCCGCATGCCTTAAGGACTGATTCTGAGGCCAGAGTGCTGTTTAGGACATCTGCCATTCTATGGGTCTGCTGTGTATCTCACTTCCCATGTTGGATCGTTCTCTCCCTTTTTTCTTCTATCAGCTAGTATTTGCAGACACTATTCTTGTTTATGTGATCCCTTTGGTTCTTAGTCCTATCATTATGATCAATTGTGAAAAGAAATTGACCACTGGGACTAGTGAGATGGCATTGGTACATGCCACCTTGATGGGATTGAATTCGAATCCCCTGGTATGTTTCTAACTCTACTGTTTGAGGTAAGTCAGCTTGAGCGTGTCCCGAATTGCACATCTCTTCCCTCTCTTATTCCCACTCTTATATTTAACAGCGATCACTTTTAAGTTTCAGCACTTAAGAAGAATTGTGTATTGATTACAGTATTCAACCAAAAGTATTAAGTAGAACAAACAAAAAAAAAATACTAAGAGGGATAACGAATTAAGTTGTTCATTAACAGTTAGGGCAAGGGCTGATCAAGTCACCGTTTCTCATAGTGTTCATTTCACTTTAACAGGTTTCCTTTTTGGTGCTCAGTTAGTTGTCACCTATCAGGGAGAACAAGTGGTATTTGTCCCTTTGGGATTGGCTTATTTCACTCAGCATAATGTTTTCCAAATTCCTAACAGGGATCACTTTTCAGTTAAAATTTAAACACCTAAGAATAATTGTGTGTTAATTACAGAGTTCAACCAATGGTACTAGAACAAAAAAAAACTAAAATGGATAAAGTATTACATTGTACATCAACCGTCAGGACAAGAGCTGATCAAGTCACTGTTTCTCATAGTGTCCATTTCACTTCAACAAGTTTCCTCTTTGGTGCTCAGTTAGTTGTCGCCGATCAGGGAGAACATACGATATTTGTCCCTTTGGGACTGGCTTAATTCACTCAGCATGATGTTTTCCAAATTCCTCCATCTTGTTGCAAATGACCGGGTTTCGTTGTTTTTGACTGCTGTATAGTATTCGATAGAGTACATGTCCCATAATTTCTTTATCCAGTCTACCGTTGATGGGCATTTGGGTTGGTTCCAGGTCTTAGCTATTGTGAATTGAGCTGCAATAAACATTAATGTGCAGACAGCTTGTTTGTTTGCCAATTTTGTTTCCTTTGGGTAAATTCCAAGGAGTGGGATGGCTGGGTTGAATGGTAGGGTTATATTCAGGTTTCTGAGGAATCTCCAGACTGACTTCCATAGTGGCTTAACCAATTTGCATTCCCACCAACAGTGGGGTAGTGTCCCTTTTTCCCCACATCCTCTCCAGCAGCTTTTTTTTTTTTTTTAAGATTTTTGTTTATTTTAAAGGCAGAGTTATAGAGAGACAAAGAGGGAGAGAGATCTTATCTGCTGGTTCACTCCCCAAATGGTCGCATCAGCCAGAGCTAGGCCAGACCAAAGCCAGGAGCTTCACATGAGTACAGTGGCCCAAGCACTTGTGCCATCTGCTGCTGCTTTCCCAGGTGCATTAGCAGGGAGCTGGATCGGAAGTGGAGCAGCCAGGACTTGAACTGGTGCCCATATGGGATGCCGGTGCCACAGAGGGCGGCTTTACCCACCACACCACAAGAATCTGCATTTCTTGTGCCACTCTGCTCCACCTGCACATTTCTGATCATGGCTAAGTCCCTCTGCAATGACAGCTTCTGGCAGGCAGCCTCTCTTCCAGGACTCCAACCTCCTCCAGGTTCCAGTTGGCTTCACTTGCCCCTTGGGCCCAGGAGTGGGAACAGCTCCTACCTATTGCTGGCCCACAGGTGCAGCAGCCTCCCTTCTTGGTTCCCTTAACCCTGCCCACAGCTAGGTCAACAGTCTCTTCACTAAATTATTTCCAAAATCCCAACTATATTGGCCTTCTGCTTCCTGCAGTGACCTTGATTCCAACTGAAGAGGCAGCATACCAGAGGGCCTTATAAACCACATCCATTCTTTGAGGATAACTATAAGAGCAGAGGCTGTTTGCTTGGTTAAGGGAAGACTCCAGAAAGCAGGCTAGTCTACTTTAAAAAGATGAAAGGCCATCACGAGGTTCTTTCTATTCTCCTGGCCCCACAAACAGTAGTACAGAGAGATTAACGTTTGGCTAAATAGAAAGTCAATTTTCCTATAGAGTTGGTCAAGATGGGGTGAGTATTCATGGTACATCTAAGTTTCAATAATTCTTAAGTCTACTCGTAAGCAGGATGAGCCTATACAAGGAAACTGGAGGAAAAACCTGGAAGGACAGTTCAGAGAGAGGCTTTCAAGCCAGGATTTCATGATTTGCCACCAACTGTATACTACTCAACAGGTTACCAAAATAGGAGCATGCACTTTCCAAGGCTTCAGTCTTACAAGCTGGAAAATTCCAGAAACAGTTCACATGTTTTATGTTGCATGTCATTCTACATATTGTGACAGAATCTCGGGCTGCCCCTCTCTGTCCCACTTGGGACATGAGTCATCCTCCTATCCAGCGTATCTGTTATGTATAAGTTACCCACTTATTAGTCGCTTAGCCGTCATCAAGGTCATCAGATCCACTGTCGCGAGGTCGACACAGTGCTTGTGTTCCAATTACCCTTCTGCAGAAGCCTGACGCTCTATCCCCACGCCTGTGTCATTCACCTCACTTGATATCATCACACAGGCATTGCAGCCCCTCACATAACCACACCAAGCACGAGGATGAGAGACAGACCAGGTTACATAGCATGTATTACAACATTGTTACAATTGTGGCATCTACTGGTGCTAACCTCTTTTTAAGTTAAATGTCATCAAAGGTATGCCTGTATAGGAAAACACAGTATATATCCGGGGTTCAGTGCTATGTACGGTTTCCTCCATCTACTGGGGGTCTTGGACGCAGGTAGGTTTACAAGGACCACTGTAACCAGTAGTGTTTTACTGCTTCCTCCTTCCGTCTAGAGAATAGAAATCCAGTTCTTAAGGTCGACCTGGGTTCAATCTCAGCATTAAAGTTTTCACGCTTTAAGGTACCTCAAGAACATAAAACTTACTTTACATGTCAGCATCAAAGCTTTCCAAGAGGTTATTTCCTGTCCATGAGCAGTCTATAAAACACGCTTCCTAACCCTGCATCTCATAGCCACACACCTGTCACTAACCGCCTTCATGAGAACCGCCGCCTTATTTTCCAAACCACGACCAGGATGCTAAATCCACCCGCGAGACAAAATGCATTACATGCAAATTATTGTGGAAAAAAAAAAATTACGATCGCCTCAATTCATGCCGGTTGTGATTTCCCCGGATCAGAGTTTATCATTACTACACCGGGGGACCGCTAGGACTGCCAGTTCCCCACGCATTCATTCAGCAAACGACCGATGCTAACTAATCCCCCGCACCAACGCAGGCCTAGGGATGGACGACAGGGCCGCGGGGGCCAGAGCCGCCAGGCTGCTGCAAGAGGACTCCACAGGAAACGGCCAGATTGCAGACCAATGAAGGCAGAGCGCGAGCGTGACGGCGCCCAGGAAAAGTTTCAGCGGAAACTTGGGAAATGCCAGCTTTGGGGCGCGGAGAGGGCGGAGACACGGGCCTAGCGGCGGCGGCGGCGGCGGCAGCAGCCTACGAGCCGAGTCCAGGCCTGGGCTCCGCGTCCCGCCGCCTCCCGCTGTCTGCCACGCGGCGCGCGTCCGCGGCCCCGCAGGGGCGCCTGCCCGGGAAGGCAGCGCCGGGCGGCCGTGGCCAGGCGCCCACAGGGCCGGAGGCGGCGGGGCCGCGGTGCGGGGTGCGCCTCGCTCTCCCGCCCGCCGCTCCCGGGAAGCGAGCGCGCGCCCCACCGCGCCGGGCACCCGCCGCGCGCTCCCGCCCGGCCCCGGAGCCCCGGCTCCTCCGGGCCCCGACCCGCGCCGCTCTCCCCGGCTCGGCCGCACTCACCCTCCTTGGCTTTCTTCCTCCGGGCCAGGGTGCCCCCGAGTTTCCCCAGGAAGGAGTCATCTTTCTTGCGGGACGGGGGCGACTTGGGAGTGGGGGACTTGGGGGCAGAGGGGGACTTCTGCGGGGAGGTGGCCATGGCGGCGGAGCGGGCAGCCGCGGGCCGGGCGGGACGCGGCGCTGGAGCTGAGCGGACGCGGCGGGCGGCGGCGGCGGGACTGAGGCTGCGGCTTCCCAAACGGAAGCGGAATTATTCCAAGCATTCGAAGCAGCTCACGCTCGCCTTTCCCTTCCCTCGCTCCCTCCCTCGCGCCGCCCTCCGCCCGGGAAGGCGCTGCCCGCGTCCCAGGGCTGCCCGGGGAGGGGAGGACGCCCCTAATTCGCCCCCCGTGGGGCAAGTGGCCTCATCTGTTAAGTGTATGCGTGGGCCCGTGTAAGCCTGCAGGCGGCGAGGGCTTTGCGTCCAGCACGCTCCCCGGCACACCTTGGGAGCTGCACCGAAGCTGGCCTGGGGCTGGGTCCCCACTTCCCGCGTGGCTATGAGTCCCGTAGCTTTTGCCCACCGAACACGGACAGCCACTCCGGCACGCAGCCGTGGCCGTCCACCTACAAGTGAGGCTCATGAGAGGAGGGTCAAGGTGCTCGTTCTTGCAAGAAATCTGGGTTTCTAGCACTTCAACAGCTTGTACAAAGAAGGGTCCCACATGTGGGTGGAAACGGGAATGGAAAAGGCTCAAGTATGGACTCCTGTGAATTCCACGACCCCACCCCCTCTTATCCCGCCTGAACAAAAAGAACAGTGATGGGGAGTGACACAACACAGCGCTCGGGACTCATCCTGGAAATGATTCAAAGGCACAAGCTTGTGCTTGCTCATCTTGAGTTCTCAGTGGGACTCTCGGTGTCTGCCTTTCACACACAGCCCCCTGGGCAACCGCGTCTCTTCCTCGTGGCTCTTGCCCCGTAGCTACAGCTGATGGAATCTGGGTGAACACCTGACCCACAGGGAACACCTGCCTGACAGCCAGTCAGGTGGCCCCAATCTGGAATCCGAGCACCAGGCTGAGGTTCAAAGCTGGGCTGCTCTTAGCACATGCATGCTGATGAGTAGGGAAACAAAAGCGTGGAGGAAAGAAAGCTCCGGAAGCCTTGCGATCCCAGCCAGTAATGGAAAACTGCGGGGAGCAGCCACCTGGATCCGGAGTCTCTTCCCAGCCCCCACTTGCAGGTCCCAGAGATCAGCTGTGCTTCCTTCCCAGGAGATGCGAATAAAGCAGTCTGATAACCCCCTCCACCTTAACTGGAGCCAATCAGCAAACTGCAGCAGCTGAAATTTAACCAGATGGTCTGTAGATTCTCGGCAGGGTACAGGTTCATCTTATCTGTGCTGCAGCGTCATAATTTTACCTTTTTGGAAAATGAGACTTTTGTTGCTCCCTTTGACTTGGTAGAAAGCAGAGAAGTCCTGATGTCTGCTGGCCTGGGAGGACTGCCATAAGCCTCTGCCCCGCTCCCCAAAGATCTTAAAGAGATAGTGAGAAGCCAAATAAAAGCATAGTTTTAAAAAAGATTTATTGGGGCAGGCGCTGTAGCTCAGTAGTTTAAAGCCCCAGCCTCTTCGAGTCCTGGCTGCTCCACTTCTGATCCAGCTCCCTGCTAATGCGCCCCAGGGAAAGCAGTAGAAGATGGCCCAAGTCCTTAGGCTCCTGCACACACATGGGAGACCCGGAAGAAGTTCCTGGATCCTGGCTTTGGATCAGCCCAGCTCCGGCTGTTGAAGCCATATGGGGAGTGAACCAGCAGATGGAAGAATTTTCTGTCTCTACCTCTCTCTGTAACTCTTTGAAATATAATAAATCTTAAAATAAATAAAAAAGAAAAATGGGAGCTGACACTGCCTTTCAAATAAATAAATATTTATAAAAAAAAATTTAGGGCTGCTGCCTGCAGTGCAGGCATCCCATATGGGTGCTGGTTCGAGTCCCGGCTGCTCCTCTTCCCATCCAGCTCTCTGCTATGGCCTGGGAAAGCAGTGGAAGATGGCCCAAGTCCTTGGGCTCCTGCACCCACGTGGGAGACCTGGAAGAAGCTCCTGGCTTTGGATCAGCCCAGCTCTGGCCATTGCAGCTATTTGGGGAGTGAACCAGCAGATGGAAGACTTCTCTCTCTCACCTCTGCCTCAGCCTCAGCCTCTGTAACTCTGCCTTTCAAACAAATCTTTTAAAAAGTTATTTTATTTATTTAAAAGAGTTACAAAGGGAGAGAAAAATCCTCATCTGCTGGTTCACTCCTCAAAGGACCACAAACAGGCTGAACCCAGGCACCAGGAACTCCCTCAGGGTCTCCCATGTGGATGGCAGGGGCCCAAGCACTTGGGCCATCTTCCACTGCCTTCCCAGGTCCATTAGCACGGAGCTGAATCGAAAGTGGAGCAGCCTGGACTGAAATCTGCACTCCTATGGGGTGCTGGTGTTCTAGGCAGCGGCTTAGCCCACTGCGCCATGACACTGGCCGCTGAAAGTGTGTTTTGATTGCATCAGACACATAAGGACAGCTCAAAACTCTGCTCTCAGCCCTGGGGCTCTGGTCAGGGAATTGCGAGATGTGCAGATCGATAGCTGTGTGAGCTCAGGAACATCCACCCCCTTTTCTGAGCCTCCATTTCCTCACTGACAAATGGAAGTGACTGGATCAGAATAGCCATTCTCTCTCCTGGCTGTGCCTCACCATCCCAGGACCAGGAGACTGTTACAAACACCCACAGCCCTGTCTCCAGACACTTTAAGATCTGGGGATAAAACCAAAGGTTGGATATTTTTAAAACAGATCATACAGGTGTTTCCATGTTGCCAATCCACACACTGACGTGTTGGCCCTGGGAGTTACTTTCAGCTCTAACCTTCTGTGTCTGTGGCTCTCTGTTCTTTCACACGTTGCTGATATCCATTTGTAGGACAGAAGTCCTAAATACAGAATAATTTAGGAAGCACCGTGCACCGTGGTAAGGAATGCTCTGCCTTGGTGGTCTTAGTGGCTTCTTGGAGTGGGGGAGAGACACATGCCACGAGCTGTCCTGCATGCAGTTAAAAACTTGCACTGACTCCCTCCTGTGTGAAGTGGTATTTACAGTTACAGCCCAGCTGGACAGCTGCCATAGGCTTCGTCACTGGCTTCATCCTACCCAAGGGCTTGATTGTAATAGTTTATAAACTAAAAGTGCGCTGTTGTGAGACTGCTGAATCCCTTGGCCAGCCTCTCGTTGAAATCCAGACCTACATAAACCATCCTGGGAGAGAGAACCCCAGGTTCTAGTCCTGTGAGGTGATCTTGGACAAATCTCTCTCCCTCTTGTATTTTTCTTTCCATTGTCTGTAAAATGCTGAAGTATGACTAAAACGGAACATCACATATACTTAAGGTCAACAATTTCAATGCCTAGTAAAACAAAAACAGGTGCTTTTGTGCTTCCAGATCCACATTTTAGAAAATTTATAGCAGCACCATTCAAATGCTTACTAAATTGAATGAGGGGCCAGCATCACGACAATGTAGTTGGTAAAGCTGCCGCCTGGGTACCAACATCCCACATGGGCGCCAGCTGCTTTCCTTCTAATCCAGCTCCCTGCTGCTGGCCTGGGAAAAGCACCAGCAGAGGGCCCAGGTGTTTGGGGCCCTGCCACCCACATGGGAGACTTGGCTCCTAGCTCCTGATTTCTGCCTGGCCCTGTGTTGGCTGTTGCAGCCATCTGAGGAGTGAACCAACAGATGGAAGATCTCTCTCTCTCTCTCTCTCTCTCTCTTTCAAATAAATAAATCTTAAAATAATTGAATGAATTCATAGTGATAGTCATAGCAATGGAATAAAACTGAACAAATTGAAATCCCAAGTGGCAATAAAAATGCATCTCTCCATGTAATGTTTAGAAAAATGAAAAAAAGAAAACACACAGGAGCACAGATGGTATCATTCTATTCACAGAAGTTCAAAAACAGGCAAATTACTCTGTGATTGCCTTGGGAGGGGTAGTAGTTAGAAGGATGCAGGTACCAGTGTTGGATAACGTTCTATTTCTTGATTCGGGTACTGACATGAATGTATTCACTTTGAAACTTAATGGAGGGGCTGGCATTGTGGTGCAGTGGGCTAAGCTGCTGCCTGCAATGCTGGCATCCCATATGAGTGACAGATCAAGTCCCAGTTGCTCCACTCTCAATCCAGCTCCCTGATAATGTGCTTGGGAAAGCACTGGAAGATCATCCAAGTACTTGGTCTCCTGCCACCCACATGGGAGACGCAGATGGAGTTCCAGGCTCCTGCCTTCAGCCTGGCCCAGCCCCAGTCATTGAAACTATCTGGGGAGTGAACCAGTAATGGAAGATCCATCTCCCTCTCTCTCTCTCCCCTTCTCCCCTTCCCTCCCTCCCTCTCTTTAACTTTGCCTTTCACATAAATAAATGTCTAAAAATTAACACTGACACTTTATAATTAGAGCAATTCTTGTATGTATACTGTGCCTCAATAAATATTTACAAATTTATTACAAAACTATTTTCTAAAAATAAAGCCATAGACCATATGCTCTGTAGGGCTCATTTTCTCTTTATGATCTCCTTTTCCAACTCCCTGGGTGGTCCATGTCACTCAAAAATCCATAGATTTGGGGCCTGCACTGTGGCCCGCAGCAAGTTAACGCCCTGGCTTGAAGCACTGGCATCCCATATGGGCGCCAGTTCAAGACCTGGCTGCTCCACTTCCCATCCAGCTCTCTGCTATGGCCTGGGAAAGCAATGGAAGATGGCCCAAGTCCTTGGGCCCCTGCACCCATGTGGGAGACCTGGAAGAAACTCCTGGCTCCTGGCTTTGGATCGGTGCAGTTCCAGCCGTTGCTGCCAATTGGGGAGTGAACCATTGGATGGAAGACACCTCTCTCTCTCTCTCTCTCCTTCTCTCTCCCTCTCCCCTCTTTGTGTAACTCTGCCTTTCAAATAAATAAATAAATCTTTTTTAAAAAAAATCCATAGATCCTCAACTAGGTCCATCCTGCCCCAGGCAGTCTAACTTTGTGGCACCCTCAACTTCCCAGCACTGTTCTATCCTGGTCTTGTTATCTTTCCTCAACAATTCCAGCACTCAAGAACTGTGGTCTCCCAGGCAGGAGCCTGTGTGCTGAAGGACAATGGGTCCAGGTTGCCATCCTGCAGCCAGCAGCTCTATGATCTGTGCAGGTTGTCTAAGCTGTCCGTGCTGCAGTTTCTTACGGTGTGATGAGTGCCTCATCGGGTTGTTGGCCAGGCCAAGAGAGTTAGTCTGAACGACTCAGCTCAGTGCCTAGCAGAGAATAGGTCTCAACTCAAAAATTGTAAGATCTTATTTGAGACTCAGATGACACTATCATCATTTCCATTTTATGCGTGAGTAACTGGAAACCCTGAGCCCATGAACAACTTGCTCTGGATCACATCCTGGCCGATAACTAAGCAACATTAGAAGGCTATAGTCTTCAGAGTCTGTTCTCCCAAGGAGCCATGGGAGCCAGAATTTTTCACTGAGATTATTGTCCTTTGACTAAAGACTCTCTTTTCCAACTAGGTGAGATCTTTCTGACCAATGAGATGCAAGCAGAAGTGGGATGTGGCAGTTTCCAGGACCCATGCTAAGGACAGGCGGGACATGGGCATTCGGTTCTTTAGACCATCAGACTGTGTAATCCAGGCCAGCCCTCTTGCTGAGAATTATTGGGAAAGTGCAACAAAATGTAAACTACGTTTGCTGGATTAGCAAAGAAAATGACAGAGCCCAGATTCTGACAAAGGAGGACTCACCGAGAGGTGAACCCATCACTTTGGGACCGTTCTTCAGCCAGTGCATTTGCCAGTTGCAGCAGAGGCAACTGAGGGCTGAGACTTTGAGGATAAACACTCACGGGCAAAAGGTCAGGTGCCACTTACTTTGGGGATCCTTCAGTAAGCTTTGGTTTGGGACCCTTAACGAGTCCACTCCAGTACACAAAGAGAAAATAAAGACATTTTCAGGTAAATAAAAACACTATGGAGAAAAATTAATTGTTGACCCCCAAAAAAAGAACCAAGAAATAGTGTGGTAAAACAAAGTCATCCTGGATGGCAGCATGGTGACACAGGAATGAATAAAAAATAGATAAAAGGGAAAATAGATGGGTATATTGCAAGCATATTAATCATACAAAATCAAAAAAATAATGTCTTATGGGGCTCAAATGATATAAACCAAATTAAAATACAAAAGCATTCAAAAAGATCACTCAGATTGAGAGTGAGTCAATGAAGTTAAGAATGTTAAGGTCTAGGCATTATCCGGGAAGAAATAAAAGTGCTGGACTTTGATAAAACAAGGATCATGATGTAATCGCTAGGGTAACCATTAAAATAGTAACAGAGCATCTAATTATGAAGATAATAGAAAGAAAACAGGGGTGCTGCATCCAGGCAGCTTTTACAAATTATACATTTGGTCTGAATCTGTCATATTGAAGGCAACTTTTCTTTTGCCTTCGGTTTTTATTTTGCAGTATTACTTTTTATTGCATAGCTTAAAACTGAGGAAAGAGGTGCACCAGTCATCTCAAGGCCAATTAAAGTAAAACTCAAGGCTTTCACTAGGAAAAGGTATCTTTCCTAAGTGTACGTGTCATCTGTTATGGGTTGAATTGGGGTCCTTTTAAAATGACACAGTGAAACCCTGACATCCAGAGCCTCAGAATCTGAAACTTCTTTAGAAACGGGGTCACTGCAGACGTAATCGCTTCCTACAACAGTGAGGGAGGACATTCTGCAGGTGTCATTATGAGAAGCGGAAAGTGGGGACACAGACATGCACAGAGGGAAGCCAGGAAGGAGGCGTCCATTACAAGTGTGGGGCCACAAGCCGAGGCGTGCCTGGGACTCCCCTAGGCTGCCGAAGACAAGGAAGGGTCCTCCCCTATAGTCTCAGAGCACATGCGGTGCCAACACACCTTGGGTTTGGATTTCTGGCCCCAGAACCACGAGAAAATAAACCTCTGCCACAACCAGCCACACGGTCTCAGTCCTCTGGTCAGCAGCCCTAGGAAGTGAATGCTCCAGGGACAAGTGGGAGCCTCTGAGGATCGTGATGAGAGTTTGAGGAAGGCTGTGGATCCCAACCAAGGATCAGAGGTCATGGGATCCCATCAAAGCAGGAGAGGGAAGAGAAAAGCCAGCCAGGGTCCCTAGATGCCCTCTTTGATCGCTGGAAGCAAGGTGTGCTCTCAGGATCGAAGGGATGGGCGGGAGGCGAAAAGTGGGGAGCCTCACAGAGTGCTGCCCTTGGGGCCAGGCTACCACTGTGCATGTCCTCCAGGAGTCCTCCTTGCCTGGGTCATGATGGGGTGGAGTTGGGTAGGGGAACAAAGGCTTCTAGGAGCAGGGAAGTCCCGGGGCACTAGGAGGTTGGAAGACCTGAGCCTTAGCAAGTGCCATGGTGAAGCAAGGAGGGGGGATGTCTCAAGGATCACAGAAGATGATGTCATTCAAACCCTCTCTGACGCAGCCATGGGAGAATGTGCCCCAGGACCTTTGAAACAGGCGATGTGCTCAATCACCCTCCAAGATTCTAAAAAGGAACTGCAGAAGACAGTGGAAGGAGCCCCCCAAGCATGATAGCTGAGCATGGGCTGCAGAGGGAAAGCCTAAAACCAGCAGCTCCCACCTCAGTCCCCTGGCAGAGGAATGGGAACATAGCACGGACAGCAGCAGAGGCCACGCTTCCAAAGATGGAAGATACAAGTGCGAGCTCCCTTAGGCGAGCCAGGCAAGCAAGAATCCCAGGACCCAGAGTGCCTTTGGGTGTGTGGTCCATGCCACAGGCCACTACGAGGGCTTGCTTTCTTTTTCTTTTCCTCAACAGACAGAGCTCTCCCATCTGCTGCTTCACCCTCCTAATGGCTGCAATGGCTCAGGCCAGGCCAGGTTGAAGCCAGGAGTCAGGAACTGGATCCAGGTGGGAGGGACCCAACCACCTGCTGCTTCTCAGTGTGCACATTAGCAGGAAGCTGGATGGGAAGCAGAGCCAGGACTCAAAACCAGGCACTGTGATATGGGATGCCCAGCCCACATCCAAGTTCTTGAATGTCTCCGCCCCTGTTCCTTCCTAGGGCCGTGTCATGTGGACAACAAGGTCTTCTTTGCTATTGCTGCAATGCACCTTCTTCCATGCCCCTTCTCCAGACGGTGTGGCCCAGAGGAGCAAAAGTCTCTGCTTCCGTCTTTGCTGGGGTGGGTGGGTATGAAGGCTATTAAGACCGCAGATGTTTCCTCTTAGGGAGGAGGGTTGGATGCAGCCTAACAATGACATGGAACAAAGTCACCAAGGCTGCACGGTGTCTTCCAGAAACGCTACAGGGAAGACTTGAAGAACCGTCGTAGCCAGGTTGCTGGGCAAGAGGCTGGCCATGTGGTCAGCAGAGACCAGTTCAGAGAGACATCACCCAGGAGGGGCCACGTGCAGACTGGCGAGTGGGCAGTGCTCCCAGCTGGACGTTTCCTGGCCCCAGGTCCCGCCTCATCCCCCCTCCCTCCGGTGGACACTGCCCATTCTGACCCATTCTCACCTGTTCTACGGGGACCGGGAGTGCCGTTTGCTGTTTCTGTTGTTGGATTTGAACAGTTCAGCAAAGACAAAGTCATCTTCTGGCCGATCCCGCTTTAAGATGGGAGCCCACATTCAGCAGACTGATCCTGCGCCGAGGAAGGGAGGAAGGGAGGAAGGGAGGAAGGGAGGAAGGGATCAGCCTCGCTCCACAGATGAAGGCTCTGAGGCCCGAACGAGGCCAGGGAGCAGGAATTAGAGCCCCGTCAGAGCTTGAATGAGCAACTCTTGGCCTGGGTTGCTGTGTCTGAAGTGATGATTCTCACTGGGTTTTTTTGCTTGAACCACTAACTTGTGAAGTACATGCTTAGAGTTTTGTTCTCATATATGCAACCATGTTCCCTTGGTCATTAGGGAACTATTTTCTGCTGTCCTAGGGCTGGGAAGGGAAGCCAGGTGCCCCTGGTACATTTGGAGCTTTGGCCCAGCATCAGGCCGTGTGCTTGAAGGTCCCGCAGCACCAGGCATGCGGCTTTCCCCCTGAGGAGGGCTGGGCGCCACCCGGTCAACGGAAGATGGCAATGGGATCCTGTCTAGGATGGGAAGGGAAGCACGGGGCTGGGTGGGGATGCAGAGCAGGTTTGTGCAGCCTGGTGGGTGGGGGCCCAGGCTCCAGCGACCAGCCTCTGGGTGCAGTCACTCCGTGGGATCTGGACTGCCTTGGGTAAGTGCCTTAGCCTCTTGGTACCTCAGTCTTATTCTCCAAAACTGGGGATAATGCAAAGGATTTTGTTTTCAGCATCACAAGGGGTAATGCACCTGCAGAGCAGGTGAGAAGCGCTGCATTCTCAGTGGCTATTACCATGATCAGGGTCAGAGGGGCTCCCCAGGGAAGCGGCGGTGCCCGGAGTTTCACTTTTTTTTTTTTTTTTTTTATTTCTAGAAATGAACTTGGAGAAGAAGCAAGCATGACATGACTCTGCCTGCTCTGAAGGTCCAGGGATGGTGAGTTACAGCAAACAGGTGCAGAGAGGCTGAGGGTCCAGGGCTCACCCAGGGGGTGCCCAAGGAAAGCTCATCAAAGATGGCCGGCTGCAGCCGCTCCCAGAGGTCCTCACTCACCACCTCCTGCTCACAACCGGCTCTCACCTGCAGCTGTACGTGAACACTTCGAAAAGCACATAGGAAATGGAACTGAAAGCTAAGCTTCTTTTGGTATACAAATTTTTGAAATCCATGCATACAATGAGTCTTTAAAACATTCATGGAAAATGTGTATCATGAAAAAAATTGCACATTTCAAAATCTTCTGTACCCAAATATCCTTTTATTTCATTTTTCCATGCACTTTTTGAAGTTCTCTGGTATATATTTTTCACTACTAGTCAATGGCAGTGCGAATCATTTCAAATAGCTCATCGGAAAGAAAGTTTTCAAACAATAAGGGGAGCTTGAGTGGCTGATGGGGGTGGGGGCTGGTTCCTGGGCCTGACTTCTTGATTACCTCGTGCACCACTTGGGAGGCATTATCTGCCTGTATTTGCTAATTTCCACGCACTGGGGGAAAGAGCAGAGAAAACCAGACAAACCTGGTCCTGCAAGAGAGTGAGTTGGAGGATGAGGCCAGGTCTGCCCAGAAGGGAGTGCCTGGCAGTGAAATTCAAAACCAGGCTTCCCGGGTAAGAAGGTGAAAAGAAATGGAGAGGCGGGGCTGGGCCCGGCCTCCCTCCTCCCCCGGCACAGCCCTGACAACAGCTTTCTTTGTGGAGACATTGCACCTGAGGTGAGCCCAGGCTCCCCGCTCCCCTCCCACTCAAATCCAATTTGCTGGGCAGGTAAGTCCTTCCAGGTGCCCCCAGGTAATCAAGCACCCACAGCCTCCCATTCCAAATCAAAGCTTTGTCCAGCTCCTTTCACGGAAAAGAAAGAGCCAGACCGAGCCCACGTGAAAGTGTTTTGATTCCTGAGACACAAAACCATTTATTTTTGCTTCGCTTCAGTTTGCAGAGCAGTGCACAAGGCTCCCGGTTGTTGGCGCACATTAATCTTTCACGAACGACTCAGCAGTGAGGCTCGAAGATAAACAGTGGGTGGAATAGTACACTTTCCCCCGGTCGTGAACCTTCTTCTGACAATAACCCCCTCCGTCTGCGCTCCCCACCGCCGCCGCCAGCCACTCTGTGGGCGCAGGCGGCAGCCCCAGCTGCCCCCTACCCCCTCTGCCCTGCTGAGGTAGTTCTCTGATAACCACCTGGGTGGGGCACGCTGCCACTTTCAGTCTGGAAGGAAAAGCCTTTAAATCTGCTTCCTGGGAAGAGAGACAGTGCTGAATTGTCATTTGCCTCCAGAACGCACAGAAAACATCAATTTCATCGCAGCTCATCAGCGTTGGAAACACCTGCCACTTCCTTTCGCAGTCGCAATTAACATGCTGCATCTCGGCATTGATTGATTCCAAACAGCCTCACGCCGCCCAAGTCAAGGTTGAAATGGAACAGTACAACTTGACATTATTTTTTCACAGTTTTAGAAACACGAACTTATTTTGATGGCCAGAGGAGCTCTGTGATGGTGGGGGATCTAAGTCTTCACGCTTGAGACGAACGTGAGGGGAATAGGTTGGGGCTTATAATAAAAAATAGTCTTTTATCTTTGCATGGGGAGGTACTTATTTCTTGATCTTTGTATTTACTTGGAGGTAGAGAGGAAGATGAGTATTCTTTGTATGTCTCAGCCTCCAGCACAGGGCTGCAGAACCCTATGGGCATGTTAAATAAATAGATCAATAGATGGAAGATTTGGAAGAGCAAGCTTAAAAAAAAAAAAAAAAAAACTGTCCTCCTGGTCCAACTTATGTAAAATCCTGCCCTTATTATTGCCTTGAGCCCTTTGGGTTAACATAGGGGTTGTACGAGCTGACTATGAAGATGATACAGGCGTGGGCAGCCATGGCGCCTTCAGCGTCCTCAGCGCTTCACCCAGTGGTCTTCTGTGGGACAGTGAAGGGGCCGCCCGGATCTCATCATAACCCCACTCATATTGCAGACACAGAAGCTGCTGCAGAATGTACACTAGCTTACTTCTAAAGGCTGATGTCTGAAAGTATTTTGTTCATCTCCATCAATCTTTAATACTGTACAACTCACTGCCCCAAACGTTGGGGTTATTTGTACATCAAATAGCTTATATAGCAATTTTACTGACAATGGGCCGTCTCCAAATTATAACACAGAAAAAACTGAATTATGAGAAAATCATATTACCAATTTGCACAAAATATACAAATAAATAAAAGTAGAGAGATAGCCAGAAGTGGCAGTTGTTATAAGAGGGTAGATAGGTGGATTGGCAGGTAGGTAGGTAGATGGATGGATGGATAGAAGACAGATAGAAGGGAGGAAGGAAAGAAAAAAAAAGCCCAGTCTTTGGAATTTGTATGCCACCCCTGAAGACTGTTTAAATTCTACCCAAAATGTTGGCAGGCTCAGAGGAAGACCATAGACATTTAATTTCTGGCTTATCAGCTGACCGGACCAGCATCAGGGACATCATCTCAGACCAAAGAGGTTGGTGGGTCAGCGCACCTGGAGAAAAATGTGGTCTTGAGGGAGAGCCAACAGCCGCAAAGCACTTCTGTCTGATGACAAACTCAGACACTCACAGAACAAGAACAGCCAGGACACAGAGTTCTCCAGTCTCTGTTTTGTCAATAACAGAGGAAATCTTCAAAGAACCCCATGGAAGGCAAAGGAGCCAGCATTTCAGGCCAGCACATCGCCATTTGAAGCCTTCTCTTCTTTGGTCTCCAAATGCAGTCCAGACACCCCAGGAATCCCAAGGTGCCCGCGCACACTCTATCCCAGCTGCCTTTTCATACTGGAAATATCATTTTTAAAAAGCCCACCATCAGTTGCCGATTTGGGAGGTGAAGTCCCTGCACGCAGCTCTCCCTGGAAGTCAGATGTGGCTTTGTCCTTGCCCTGGGCAGAGACACAGATCCCTGCAGGGGGCACTGCTCCCCTACTCCCTTTCACTTACAGCACCGGCCTCATCCGTGTTTCAGCAACAAATGGAAGAGCTTCCCTTTTTGCCATCACCAGCGCTTATTAAAAAAATAAAGCCCCTCAAAATCATTGAGTTCCTCAAAACGCTTATTATGTTGCAAGGGCCACAAGGACGAGACTGTGGGAACAAAAGCTCCTCTAAGCCCGTGGTATTTGGTGAAAACTAACAATCCCGCTGGCATGAAGCTAAAGTTGGATTTCCTTTTTCCTTTTTAATAAAATTACGGCTCAAATGTTCTATTAAACCCTCATTGCTGATGTATATTCTATTAAGGCTTATAAGTACACCTGGTAAATTAAATTCGCCCTGGATTGAATTAACACCTGCTATACCAGTTATTTGCTTTGTGTAATCAGTAATCTCAAGGTTTCTCCTCTTTCTCTGGAAGTGCAATTTAAATATTAACCTAATCTTTAACCTGCTGCTGCTTTCTGACATTTGGAAATCAGTCACCCATGAAAAAAAAAAGAAAAGAAAAGAAGGAAAATAGGGATATTTTCATGAAAAGGCAGCTTCTTAAAATTTTAAAATGTGCAACTCAATGAACTGGGGAGGAAGATGACAAGAGCCACAGGAGAATCACATCATTGTGTCATTTTATGGGGGAAAAACCACGCTGGTCATGTGCCAGGGACACCTCCACACTGACGGCCCAGCTCGAGTCGGCTGCCAGTTTCAAGAGTCTTTGTGTTTTCTTCTTGCTTGGCTCTGGAGGGGCCTTGGGACGCTGTTGTCTGCCCGAGACAGTTCTGACCTATGAGAGAACTGCAGGAGGGTACAACTTAAATTCCAGGCATGATGGAGCCCACCGAAGCACAGACGGACGAGAAGCGTGCTGTGGCCGTCCTGATGCGGCGTTCAGCCTGCCTCCGGTGGTGGTGGGGGGGTGTCTCATCAGGTCCTGCTCAGCTGACAGCCCCTGGGGAATACAAAGCTCTCAAAATGCTGGTCCTCAGCCTTCTCTTTGAGGCGCTGTTCCTCCAAGGAGTCCACGAGTTTGTCCCTTTGCTCCACCACTTTCATCATCTCGGCGAATATCTCCTGCGCCTCGTGGACGGCGTTCTCATCTTTCTGGTTCTCTAGAGAAACAAGAGAAACAGAGGGCCTCGGGTGAGACGGGGCCCCTGGAGAGCTCTTGGCAAGGGCCTCTGGATCGCCCTGCCCTTTAATTCCGAGGCAGAGAACAAGGAAATGAATGAAGCACCAAGGAGCTGCCCTTGAAGCCACAGGTTAGAAAGGTGGTGCTTTGTGGGGGGGTCGGCTCAGATTTCATCTTGGGCAGCGACGGGGGGAGCACGCCCTTGTGAGAAGCAGCAAGGATTGCCAGCCGGGCCCTATCGGGTGCCCCAGCCTTGCCTCCCGCCTGAAAAAGAAACCAACAGAGCAACACAAAGGCCACTGAGCCGCAGGGAAGAAATCGTGAGAAGTTGGAAGGAAACCACCTGCTTCAGTGCTACTATTTCAACAACAAGAATCCCTTTTGCATTTCTAGTGAGTGTTGCACATGGCACATGGTAGCCCTGTCAGCAGAGCCCACAGCCAACCACGGAGAAGCAAAGCGAGGCCACGACTGTCTGACAGGACGAGGTTTCCAGACCCACTCTGCTTTCCCCTGGAACTTTCTGAGGGCATGCCCTTCCTCCTAATTGGCCAAGGCATCTGACTGCCTGGGGGAAACAGGATTGTGAGAAATGGAAGGGAAAGGGTAGAAAACAGGTAGTGAAGGGTGTTCTGACCCTCAAAACTGGATTTTAAGGCCAGATCTGTCAATCAGATTGTGGCCTTGGGTTGAGCCTTTTTTTTTTCTTTTCTTTTGACAGGCAGAGTTAGAGAGAGAGAGAGACAGAGAGAAAGGTCTTCTTTCTGTTGGTTCACCCCCCAAATGCCCGCTACAGCCGGCGCTGTGCCGATCCAAAGCCAGGTGCTTCTCCTGGTCTCCCATGCAGGTGCAGGGCCCAAGCACTTGGGCCATCCTCCACTGCACTCCCAGACCACAGCAGAGAGCTGGACTGGAAGAGGGACAACCGGGACAGAATCCAGCGCCCCAACCAGGACTAGAACCTGGGGTGCTGGCGCCGCAGGTGGAGCATTAGCCTAGTGAGCCGCGGCGCCGGCCGGTTGAGCCTTTCTAAATTCCTGTGGTCCCTCCCATCCAGCACACCAAGACTGGGCGGTGAGAAGGTGCACCGGCTCTCACCAAGCTGAGTTCTGAGGTCTGGGCCGGGAAGAAAGGAGACACAAGGAATGGCGAATTAAGCAGCACAGTCCTTTTGCACGTCAGGTTTTATGGGAGGGAGAAGAGCAAGGCAGGAGAGGCCAAGAGGGAGAGCTCTGTGTTCCTGTCTCTGCATTCTGGACCCCGGAAGTCCCTAAGCAGGCAGGAGAATACTGGGGCCCCAGGACACCAGTGTGGGAAGAAGCCAGCTTGAGGGGCTGCCCTGTGTGTAAGCGGGCAGACAGGAAGAGTCTCCGTCTGCTGGATGTGGCCCACATGTCCCAGAGTTGTCCAAAGTCCCACGCTGAATGGAAGCAAGGCTGGGCGAGCGAGCCAGGGAACGCCACTAGGCTCCAAAGCACACCACGGGAATGGCAGGAGGTGGCTTCCGGCACCGCACACCTCAGCTACAGGTGCCAGCGAGGGGGCGGCAGCTGGGTGACGGGAGACAGCATGTGGGGCCTCAGGGAGTCAGGGTGCCCTACACAGCTTCCTAGTTTCCCAAGGCCACACAGACCTGCCTGTGCTCATTACCTGGCAATCCCCTAGGGAGAGATGCAGAAGGAAGTGGTGGCCAATCTCAAGACTGCACAGCTTTAGCGCAGGGAGACTGAGCGTGTCCTACAGGGCGGTTTGAATGATTGCATCAGAGTGAGGTTCCCGGAGAAGGATGCGGAGCGCCTGTTTTCCCCCTGCTGGCTAGCAGGAAGAAGCTGGTGCGCAAGGGGAGCTCAGGGACAGACAAAATGATGCAGCTACACTTTTTCTGGTTCCTTGAAGAGGAGTGAGAAAATATATGACCTTTACGCCTTAGTAAGAATTAAAAATAATAATTAATTAAAAAAACAGGATCAAGGATGGCTAATAGAGTCTTTAGTAGTATTTATTTTACTATCCTGAAACAAAGCAAATTAAATTTTTTATCAAATGTACAAACGAGGGGCTGGTGCTGTGGCTCACTTGGTTAATCCTCCGCCTGTGGCGCCGGCATCCCATATGGGCGCCAGTTCTAGTCCCGGTTGCTCCTCTTCCAGTCCAGCTCTCTGCTGTGGCCTGGGAAGGCAGTGGAGGATGGCCCAAGTGCTTGGGCCCTGCACCCCATGGGAGACCAGGAGGAAGCACCTGGCTCCTGGCTTCAGATTGGTGCAGCACTGGCCATTTGGGGAGTGAACCAAAGGAAGGAAGACCTTTCTCTCTGTCTCTCTCTCTCTCTCTCTCACTGTCTATAACTCTGTCAAATTAAAAAAAAAAAAAAAACGTAAAAAAAAATTGCACAAATGAGATCCGAGTTGCATGCTATGGTTGGCTAATTCAGGCATGTTCCGGTATTGGTATTCCTTATTTAGCCAGCGAGACAATGAACAATTCTCTTGGTAGAGGCTCCTCACATCTGGAGTCATCTGCGCTGTTTCCGACAGGTACAGGTGGTGTGTACCACTGAATGAAGCCAAGGAAGGGCTTGCTGTGCTTGTGGTTGGCCAAGGGGAGGCTGCCTCTGAACTTTCCTCCCACTGGCAGGTGGGTCGGCCAATGCTAGGAAGGGACTCTATTCCCAGATGCCTTTCTAGGAAAAAAGTCTATCGCGAGGACCCAAAGCACATCCCCGTACTCACCCTCCTTGAGCATTTTCTCTCTGTACTTCTGCTGCAATCTGCTGTGATGATCTTCTAATTCTAGTTCTTGGGCCCTGGTAGGGGAAGATGTTCACACTTTGTAAGCACTGGGGATTTGTGTGGAATCACTGACAAATTACCCCGTGGACAGCAGCTGCTACATTTTTTTTTTCCTCCTTATTAGAAGTGGGGTTTTTGGATTCCTCTAAACAGAAGGTTATGCTGCTGCGGGGATCACTCCAGCTGCCTAGAGAGACTACTGATGTGCTGAACTTGAGACAGTGCTGTGACCTCAGTAGGCAGCTTTTGGAAGGCCCTCCAGTCCACCCTTTAGGGAAGAGCTGGAGGTGAGAATGGTGAAGAAATGTCTTACAACAGTCCAGGGGAGAAGTGATGACCATTTCCAATTCTCTCTTGTAGGAGCAACATGACCCCAAGCCTCGCCTCTAAGAACTCCCAAATCTCTCCGTGTGATTAACAAGAGAACAAAAAAAGGACACTAATGTGAGATGTTTTGTCTGGATGGAGCAGTCAGGTGCAGACTGCTGTCCCTCTGGGTGTAGGAGATGTGGAAGGAACAGTCAAGACTACAGAGCCAAGGACACTGCCCTGTTCAATATTTTGCCTGTGTTATTGACACTGAACTTCTCTTGGCCCACTGTGGTGGCCAATGGAGGACACTGCTCAGATATTGGTTGAAGACAGAACTTCCTGGGAGGAGTTCTGTGAGCTGCCTGCTGTTACAGACCCATTCCCATGTCAGGTGAAGGCCACAGTCTCCCCAGCAGACTCCCAGCCACTGAGCACGGCAGAAGTGTAGGAGCTGGGCCTTCCAGCCTGCCATGGATCTCCTGGGATGGCGATCCCTGCTCCCACCGGCCTGGCCAAGACTCTCTCAGAGAGGCACCGTCTCTGGGCTCCTTCTGCCCAGTTCCCCTTCCTTCTTCCTCTCTTTTTACAGCATCCTCAATCCAAAAACCTGAACTCCAGGGTATTCCAAAATCAAAAAGACATAAGGCTCAAAAGTGAATTTCAGAGCATTTCAGATTTTGGATTTTTGGATTCAGGACACTCAGCTGGTCAAGGTTATGCAAATGATCCAAAATTCTGAAATCTGAAACACTTCTTGTCCCAAGCACTTCAAAGAAAGAACACACAGCATGGAGCACAAGCTCGCTGGGGTCTGAAGACCTCCCTCGTGCTTCCGCGTCCATTTCCCCTCCTGCTTCACAGGCACTGTCCCCATGAATCCACTGTGCTTCTACTTCTGTCTTGGCACGTCTGCTTCCCAAAGGACTCGGGTAGACATACCCATCTTGTCCATTTTGGTCTTTTTCCAAACTAATGCCTATCCTTCAACGGAGTTCTGCCACGCCTTTGTCTAGTTCACGTGTCTGAGTTCTCCCACTTGATCTCTTTTGGGAGAGAAATCCTGGTGCACTTCCCAGGGAAGCTGCATCACCGAACAGCGGTGGCAACAGCCATCGCCTCGCTGGCTCTCTCAGGCAGGCTCTGAGCCAGCCGCTCCTTCTGCACACCTCCGAGGAGGTCTTGCCAGGTTCTCTTTTGGCCACTGTACTGTGTATTTGCATATCTTCCTCCCCTGAAACCACAGGACCCCAGAAGACAGGGACTGTGGCCATATTCATCTTTATTTCTGCAGATCCTAGCCTAGTTCCTGGCACACTGAATATGCTCGAAAAATGTTTGTTGTGTGAACTTTCCAGAGCTGGCCCCAATGCACACAGTGTGGTTGTATGACAAGGGCTTTGTAGACAAGTGGATGTAAGCAAATTACTAAATTGAGCCGAGCCAACTGAAAAACAGTAATAGAACAGATAATTCCTGAAGAAGACCCAGACTTCTGGCCTGTTCCTAGCATGCGCTTCCTTCCTTTGCCCATAAAGGATGGAGAGGTGACCTTGGACTTCTTCAGTGTGTGTTGAGATCACTCTACTTTTCCTAGCCAGGTTGCAACCCTCATTCCAAGGGGACATGGGGACAGAGTTCAGTCCTTCGTCTCGGAAGCCACAGGGAAGCGGCCAGGCAGAGTTCACAGAGCCCTTCCCACGATTCCTCTGGCCCAGACACAGCCCTCCCCACTGTGACTGCTCTTTTAGCAAGGGCCTGGGGGACAGGGCTGGATCGAAAACCCTTTATCCAGAGGCCCTCCAGCTTCAGACTCATTTCCTGAAATCTCCTTTAGCCCCTGGACTCCACAGAGCAAACAGACAACGGAAGACTCTCTGTTCTAATGCCAGCATGATATGCAAGACGTAAAATATCAATTTGCCTCAATCACTACTCTGTATGCACAAGGAGAAAAAATCCTGGGACTTCAGCCCAGGAGGGTGAGCCGTCCCCCACCCGGCCCACCCCTCTGCTTTCAGGACGCACGGTTACCTGTGTGGCCAGACTTACATGATCAGTAGCTCCGACTCATATCGCATTAATTTATTCTTCTCCAGAACCAGCTGAAACCATTCCTGCAAGAGCTGTGCTTCATCCTGTGTGCCTGAATCTGCTTAAGGAATCAAAGGCAAATGGGTTAGATTGGCATTTCTCTCCCCAGGATCAAACTGCCCTGGAGCTACTTTAGCACAGCCCGTGTTTGTAGCAAGAAGGGCTCAGCGGGCAGCCGCTCTCTGACACCCTGTTGATGCCTCGAGGTCATGGGCATGGCAAACAGAATCCACCTGTGCCTGCTCTAGGGCCGATCCTGACAGACATTTAGGGCATGGCTATCTCAGCTCCAGAGGTTTATGCCGCTACTAACGTTCTACTACAGCAGATCCTGTTCTGTCTCCTTGTTCATCCTGTGTAAGATTCTTAGGTATATATGCATCATATCCTTTGCCAAAGAAAATGCTGGCTGTCAGTTACTGTCTCCTTGTCCCACTGCCTACCCTAATGCTTATGGAGGACTCCCAAGGTATGTGGCTCTCTTCCTGGATCAGGGGAGCTCATGTCAGAGTTGCTCATAGAGGAATACAGCATTCTGGATTTTTGCACAAAGCCAAATGGTGAAAACAATGTTTTTAGCTTTGAGTCTTATGGACAGAAAGTTACATCCATATATACTTACAACTTAGATTTCAACCTTTTTTAAACAGAATAATCAGAGGCCAGTGCTGTGGTGTACCGGGTAAAGCTGCCACCTGCAGTGCTGGCATCCCATATGGGCACCAGTTCAAGATCTGGCTGCTCCACTTCCAATCCAGCTCTCTGCTATGGCCTGGGAAAGCAGTAGAAGATGGCGCAAGTCCTTGGGCCACTGCACCCACCTGGGAGACCCAGAGGGAGCTCCTGGCTCCTGGCCTTAGATCAGCGTGGCTATGGCAGTTGTGCCCATCTGGGGAGTGAACCAGCAGATGGAAGATCTCTCTCTCTCTTTCTGCCTCTCCTTGCTCTGTATAATTCTGACTTTCAAATAAATAAATCTTAAAAAAAAAAACTCAGAATAACCATGAGAAAATTTACAATGCTTCTTAGATACTCACTATTAGATATTACATGTTTGGCTACTACAATGTTAAAATCTGTCATAGTTGAGAAGTAGCAACAGAGAGGTGATAATTGTGCCCTTTCACCCTGCAGTGAGAACGTGGGATGCATGGCCATTCTGGATGGGTTTATACCAGTGCGTCCCATAGGCAGAGGGGGAAGCAGATTTGTCTGACCTTGTGCAAGCTGCTTTACATCTCAGGGCCAATGCTTCACCACTGGTTAAACTGGAATAATATGACACCCACATAACACAGTAAAGAGCTGCTACTTATCATGCATCGATTATGTGCCGGACCCAGGGCCATGGGCCTCATAAGCAGTGCCTCACTTAACCTTCGCAGAAAACTTCACGGGTAGATTCTCTTGGCATTACCACTTGACAACTTAAGAAACAGAGGTTTACAAGATCAGAGGTTAAAACAACCCAAATTTACAGTAACTTAGAGGTAGGACATGAATTCCTAAGAGATGTTAGGAGTGTGCCTTACCCTAAACACACACTCTTCACTGTTGTATAAATCTTTCCCTTCCTCCTTCTAGTCATCATATAAGATAAATAATGCCCTTGGCATGTTACCTTGCACAAAACAAGGATTTCATAACATTTAGCTCCCTTTTCTTCCTGGCTCCTTGATCATCTTGTTATTTATAGAAAAACTGACACCCAAAGATATCTACATGCATTGCCCAGAATGAAATATTTTATGGGCAAATCGGTGCTAACATGCAAATCTTGACTTCTGATCCATCCATCCATCCATCCATCCATTCAATAACAGCAGTTAATCAAATACTTCCTATGTGTTTGGTATTGCCTTAGGCACTGGGAATATAGTGCTATGTATTATTATATATCACAAAACAGTAAAGCGTTGCACCTACCACAAATGATATTGCTAATAATCTTTTGGATGATGGACTCAAAGAGTTAGCATAAAATAGAACATTAGAGGGGTGGCACCGTGGCCTAGTAGGTTAAGCCTCTGCCTCTGGCTCTGGCATCCCATATGGGTGCCAGTTTGAGTCCCAACTGCTCTACTTCCAATCTAGCTCCCTGCTAATGGCCCAAGTGCTTGGGCCCCTGTACCCACGTAGGAGACCTGGAAGAAGCTCCTGGCTGCTGGCTTCAGATCAGCCCAGCTCTAGCTATTGCAGCATTTGGGGAGTAAAACAGTAGATGGAAGATCTTTGTCTCTCCCTCTCTCTCTGCCTCTCAAATAAATAAATAAATCTTTTAAAAAAATGTAGAACATTAGAAAAGCTGTCGGGGCCAGAGCTGTAGTGCAGTGGGTTAAGCCACTACTTGAGACACTGGCATCCCATATGTGCACCGATTCAAGTCCTTGATGCTCCACTTCCAATCCAGCTCCCTGCTAATGTAGGGAAGATGGCCCAAGTGCTTGGGTCCCTGCTACCTAGGTGGAAGACCCAGATGGAATTCCAGGCCTTTATAACCATTTGGGGAGTGAACCAGTGGATGGAAGATTCTCTCTCTCTCTCTCTCTCTCTCTCTCTCTCTCTCCTTTCTAACTCTGCCTCTCAAATAAATTAGTCATTGTCTCTATTAAAAAAAAGAAAGAAAGAAAGCTGTCACAAGAAAGCAACAAAAAAATACAAAAGAGAGAGGGCTTTTCTGGTCAGGGCAGGTGTTGGGGTACTAAGGTACCTGGGTTTTGAGCAGTAGTATTGAAGAATAGAGAACACTTTTGAGAGGAAATAATGAGAATGAAAAAGGGAATTTTCACAAAGAGGAAACAATGTAAGGAAGAACAAGGGGACTGGAAAAAAAGACGTGGAGCTGGAGACTGGGAAGGATTTAAGGGGACCTGGAGAGGTGATGGCGAGGCCTGAAACTTTCCTGAGATCTCACCACAGAGACCCCCTAGGGCCACGTGAAGGCATTTGTACTTTGCAGAACATAAAGGGATGTTAAAGGTGGTATAGTCAGAAGATGATATACCAGAGGATGATACATGGGATGGATTAAAGGGCAGTGAGAACAGGGAAGGAAATAGATGGTATTCTTTCCTGGGTTTCTTGAATGAATGAGTGAACAGAAGAATTATAAGTGTACTGAGTACCAGTATTCTTTTTTTAAAGTTATATGTAGTTACTTATTCCATTTTTTAAAAAAAAGATTGATTGATTGATTTGAAAGAGTCATAGAAAGAGTAGGAGACAGAGATCTTCCGTCCACTGGTTCATTCTTCAGATGGTCAGAAGCCAGACGCTTCTTCCAGGTCTCCCATATGGGTGGCAGAGGCCCAAGCACTTGGGCCATCTTCTGCTCTTTTCCCCAGGCCATTAGTAGGGAGCTGGATCGAAAGTGGAGCAGCCAGGGCGTGAACTGACACCCATTTGGGATGCTGGCATTGTAGACAGCAGCTTTACCTGCTATGCCACAGCGCCAGCCCCAGTGCTGACATTTTCTAAGTATTGTTTGTGGTGCTAAGGGACAGAGGTGAGTACACATTGGCTCCAGTGGCTCAGAAAACTTTTCTTCCTAGGAGCTTGCAGTCCCCAGGGAAAAACCAGCATGCACAGCCACACAGAATACCACGTGCCCCTTACTATGGAAACACAGAAGGGCAGCAATTAATTCCGTGTGGAGGAAGTGTGGGGAGGCCTCAGGAAGGAAGCAGCAGCTGAGCTCAGCCGAAAGCCAGGGAGAAAGGAGATCAAGAACAAGGCATTCCAGGGAGTTCGTTGTTGAATGAAAAATGAAGTGTGTCAACCAGAGATCAGACACAACACAGAAGTTAAGAGCATATACTTTAAACTCAGACAGGACCAAATGTCTACTCTTCTACCTACTGCTGTGTGGGCTCGAGCAATTAACATTGTCTCCTTGAGTGTCAGTCTCCTCACCTGCAGTGGGATGAAGTACTCAAAGCACTTGACTCAGTCCTGCAGATAACGGGAGCTCAGTAAATTGCAGCCGTCAGTCTCAATCCTGCAACGTTTGACTGCTGATGGAAGAAAGCTCAGGGGTCAGGTGGTCCAGCCACAGAGACCATGCAGGTGCTCCCTCAACTCCCTCCTGTCTCCAGGATAATTCTCTGCTGGCCAGGAAGCCCTCTGCCTGGCTGTGTACTTTATGTATTGAAAATCTTTTTTCTATTGGCCTTCAACGGCTTGGCCACCAACCATTGATGCCGGTGTTTACCTCTGGAGGAAAATGTAGAACATGTAACTACATATTTCAGATATTGGATAGATATTGGAAGACAGGTCTCACAACTCACTGCACTTGGATTTTCCATAGTCAACCCCTCCAGATGGTTTGTCATGCTGTCACATGACAGCTGCCCACCTCTGCTTGCTACCTACCTTTCCAGGATCTATCCAAAAGAGTGCAGAATCAAATATCCACAGCCCAGATGGAAAGATCCCCTCACACATTCGTCCTGTGCCCAAGAATTGCAGCTGTCTTTTTTTGCAGCTCTCCTCTTAACTTGCATGTGAACTCTGGTCCTTCCACAATAGAGATGGCTAAGTCTGATGCCTTCAAGTTCTATCTGTGCAACTGATCTTTTTCTACACTTAATTCATACTATATATTCAGGGCAGGCATATGCAGGGATGTCGGTGCCATAGGCAGATGCTTAACCTACTACAACACAGTGCTGGCCCTGAAAATAAACATTTAAAAAGACTTTATGGTATTCGCGTTGTGGTATGATAGGCTAAGGCATCTCATATAGGCGCCAGTTAGTGTCCTGGCTGCTCCATTTCCCATCTAGCTCCCTGCTAATGTGCCTGGGAAAGCAGTGGAAGATGGCCCAAGTGCTTGGGCCCCTGCCACCCATATGGAAGACCCAGAAGAAGCTCCTGGCTCCTGGCTTTGGCCTGGCTCAGTCTTGGCTGTGGTGGCCATATTGGCAGTCAACTAGTGGATGGAAGATCTCTCTACCTCCTCTCTCTCTCTCTCCTCCTTTCTCCGTAACTCTTTCAAATAAATGAAAAATATTTTTTTAAAAAAAGACTTTATATGTATTTTGTTAAGCATCACCT